GGTTAAACAACTTGTTACCAGCAGGCGTCTTACCTCTAAGGTAGTCATTCAAGGTGATATTCTCCCCGTCATCAAATACTTCCAATTCGCAGGTCGTCTACGTAGGTTGGACATGCACCAACCGTTGGAGTGCATTCGTACAACAGTCAGCTTACACCTCCCTTCTGCGTTGTTCTTATACCTGCCTCGTGTTGCAAATGGCATTGCGGATGACTTGGCTGGACAAGCCTCTCACTTTGTATTGGCCCGATATAGTGACCCCGCAACCTTCAACCGTGACTCTGGGCCGGTGTCCATCAAACCATCGTTTCCGACAGCTCTCTTCCAAGTTTTCACATTCAGTGTTTTGAGCAGCCCTGGATGCAACCGACACTTACCCTTGTTGAGCGGCCCAGTATTGACCACGGACTCCTCCGTAAACATCTTACCCTCCACCCCCATCACCGACAGCTGATTGAATCGTATCTCTCCCCCTGTTTACCACAACATAGTAGCATTGAAATTGGCTACTCCCCGAGAGCAACAGACTACCTAGGACGTAGTATTGCTGTACCATGGGCGGTCAAAGATTACCGAGGGCAGCAAGCCTACTGCTGTTCGGACGCAACCATTGTGAAGTTGACCTTAAGGGGTCTTTCTACGAGCTTGTTCGACGCCTGGGATTACTCTACATGCCTGACCATGTACCCCTTCCAACCATTGATGATCTTCGTGCCCAGCTTTACTGCGACCCCTACATCCAAGCGGTGGAAGCACTTTGCCCTCATACTGTCAAACAGCTCCCATTGAGGATTATCAACAGTTCAATTGATACAACATATCAACATCTACAATCCATTGTGGATGGTTCCCCCGGAGCTAATCTGGGCGCAGCCCTTCACCAACTCTGGTCCCAGAGTACTGCCCTGGTCACCCAGCTGCTACCCCGCTTCCGACCAGCGTTCAGTGCCAACCACAGTGACAGCGCCTTTCGATTGTTAGAATATTTTGAGGCACTAATTGTGGAAGATACCAACTCATCGCCCGGCACCCCACGCAATCCCTGGTATGGCTCCATGATGGTTTCTTAGTTGCTCCCCCGCCCCCCGAGTACATGCTTCGGCAAATCGAAAAGGAAGTTCTGTCCAAACATCAGCTTTATTTCGAACAATCATGGTTTAAGATTACCCCCCTTGCTGCTCCATGCGACGAATACATCACGACCCTCAAACATACTGCCAGTAGCCGTATGCTTGCCCTTACACGCCGCACGTCTCAGCAACGCGCCCGTAAGCAGCATGCTGCTAAGGGCTCAATTCACATTTGCACCACCCCGTTGGAAGCTCTCGCCAAACTGCGCGCTCGACGTGAACGACCGACGTGACCATGTGGCGTCTCTGAGCACTTGCACAACTAACTGTATACCGCTCCCCGCCCCAGCCATTTTGCGTGAGACGGAAGCTGCTCCCAGGGGTACTCTGGGTAGCTGCTTCCTCTCGCGTAGATTAGTCGATGTCACAGTCTAGGTCACAGTGAGTTAGTAGGGACATTAGTTGCTGTCTTCGTCGCCGTTATCCTTGGCCAATTGTCAGTTGTCCGGTTGTCACTCACCTGGTCTATGCAAATCCCAGCCCAATGGAACGGGACTCGCACGATGGACCCAAAATCAGCCGCCCTCTGAGCATAAGCAAACCTCGCCCAGTAATATATACAGTCTCGCTAAGAAGTTTGTCGTGCTAGGGCGATTGTCAAAAAGTGCGAGCCACACTGCGGTACGTAAATCTTAGCCGCATCTTGGCGATGACAAAGCATCATACCGCTTGGATCCACTTTTCTCCGCAGTTTGTCTTGATTTTGTTGACGGGTTTTCAGAAGGATCCATCTCTCCACTCAGGGGAACGGGTGGAAGAGGAGGAAAAAAAAAACTACAGGATGGATCTCCTTCTTGCACTCTGACCCATCATCGAGCATAGAAACATCTCCAAGCTGGGTGCTTTTTTCTTGGATTATGCCTTAAGACCTTGGTCACACTAAAGCTTTGGGCTGTTCAGACGCATCTTCAGCCTGAGCGTGTGGCTTCCTATCAGTCCGAGGCAGTTACCATCGGAGACTTGTGCTACAGAGACCGACCACTCACACTTAAGAGTGGCATCTTCATGGCTAACCATAGATCTTCCAACACTAGGTGGCAAGGGCACAACTCATAACAACTATTGACAATAATCTAGCGTAACGTGCTTAAGTCTATCAACTTGACCAGTCGATGCAGCTGATTAGGGTCGCTCACTATGCTCTGCATGCTCTCCGTAATTGGAACGTAACTATCACCTATCAGCGTACTACTTCATCCTCACTTACCTGAGTTTCCCGCAAATTTATTTCCTATGCCAAACCAACCACAACAAACAACTAATGAGGGGGGGAACCCACATCTTGACTGGAATCTATTCTGACATGCGCTGACATATATTCTGACCGCACGTCGTCGCAAACCAGTAAACATCATCAAAAAAAAGGAAATAATACGACCGAATCTGCACTGTATTAAAATGAAAAATTTTAAAGCACATCGGACAAATGCCTAATGTGAGTTCACTGTCAAAATGAATCATCCGCTCATTCCTTTCCAAAGCACAGGGGTGGTCTCACATGTCAATCTGCCAAGCCAACAGGCCAAGTCGGATGCTGCACCCGCACTCACGGCTGTGGGTGAGGCAGGAAAATGGAAATCGTAAACGGAGTTCGTTGTTGGCGTTGTGTAAGGAAAACATATCCTCGTTGTCATTTCGCCAAATTTGACTGTCATTGGGGTATCGGAAGTCGTCAGTGTAGCAACTACACATGGCCAAATAGAGATGGCACAGGTGCAGTTGCAAGACAGTGTCTGTCAACAAATTGTGGCCAACTAATGTGGAGAAATCAATGCAAAAAGGATCCACCAGATTGCGCTGCAGGCTGAAATAAATCCACTGGAAAAAATCATCAAGACAGTGCACCAAGGAATTTGAGGTGACCCAGTCGGAACTGGTCGTAGGGCTAGTGGAGCTGATGCAGCAATGCGCCCTCGCTCCCGCGCGCCCATGTAATGTAGAAAAGGTTCAGTTCCCTCAAAAGAGGGTGTTGGTGGGAGGGACAAACTTTTGAGGGGTCTGCAAAGTAAGTCACCCACCACCCACCACTTGAACCAAGAATTGCATGGAAAGACAGAATCCAGATTAACTAGTGTGAAACGTATCGTTTAAATTTGGTTTCAAAGAGTGTTTCAAAGACCAATGAAACAACCCTCATGAGAAAACAAACTCAAGATTGGTGTTCCGAGATGTTTGTTGTTGGTCTAATTTGCCTGTTTTAAACAGGCAAATTTTTGGCAGTTGAAAATAAGGTTATTATCCTTTCAGGAGCAACAACTTATTTCCTATGCCAAACCAACCACAACAAACAACTAATGAGGGGGGGAACCCACATCTTGACTGGAATCTATTCTGACATGCGCTGACATATATTCTGACCACACGTCGTCGCAAACCAGTAAACATCATCCAAAAAAAAGGAAATAATACGACCGAATCTGCACTGTATTAAAATGAAAAATTTTAAAACACATCGGACAAATGCCTAATGTGAGTTCACTGTCAAAATGAATCATCCGCTCATTCTTTTCCAAAGCACAGGGGTGGTCTCACATGTCAATCTGCCAAGCCAACAGGCCAAGTCGGATGCTGCACCCGCACTCACCCCCGTCCAGCTAGTGCAGCATTTTCTCATGTGACAAGACTACCACCTCCTATGCAACTGAGATTCGGGGTGGCTCTGCGATTCAAGAGGTCTTCAACCTGCTTGAGGCCTTGCACGTCTGTCAGATTTAAGTGAAACTCCACCTTCCATATAACGCAAGCCACCTGAAGCCTCATTCGAGGCAAGCTAACGTTCACATCACCACATTCAAAGTCGGGTGCATGGCCTGAAGCCTCATTCGAGGCAAGCGAACGTTCTCATCACCCCATTCGAAGTCGGGTGCATGGCCTGCACCAAAAAACCAGAGCTCTGGTCGCTTCCAGCCCACCTACGGAGCTAAGCAAGTGCAAGACGAACGCAAGCCACCTGAAGCCTCACTCGAGGCAGGCGACCGTTCACATCGCCACATTCAAAGTCGGCTGCATGGCCTAAAGTTTCATTTGAGGCAAGCAAACGTTCTCATCACCACATTCGAAGTCGGGGGCATGGTCTACACGGACATCGTCAGTGTAGTCTGCCCCTTGTAGAACCTCTAAATTCAACCCCAGCTCACTGACATCTGTAAGGTCTTGTGTGCCACCAAGAACTGTTGTGCCGCTAAGATCTGTTGTCTTTTCTGTAATTGGGGAGGAAACAAGCGACTCACCCCATGTGCCACCAAGCACTGTTGTGACGCCAAGAACTGTTGTCTCTTCTGTCATCGAGGAGGAAACACGCGACTCACCCCCCGTAAAAGGTTTCCGATGGGTTTGCTGTGCTCCATGTAATCGTATCCTGGCAGTGGTGTCAGCGTTCAGGTGAGGAAGAATGGCCAAACAAGGGCGAGCCAAGGATTCCTTACCCAGCAGCCAGAAAATTTGTTCCCAGCGAGGAATTTTCACAGGTGTTGAGCCAGCATTTGTATTGAAATTTGCTTCGAATGGTTCTTGTGAGGCCTCTGTCCACATGGTATCAGCGTCAGTTTCCAACATTGTGTCCAAAACCGGAAAGGTACCTTTGGTACATTCCTCTGTTTTGTAGCTTGCCACACTTTTGAGATTAGCTCTTTTGATCTCAATTTTGCGTTTTGCAAAGTTTGCCAATTTCTCGAGCTTCAGCATGTTTTCAAACATCTGTGCTTTTGTAATTTGGCTCTCAGGTGAAACCTTTGGAGTGAAACATTGTAGACCGCCGTCAGAGTGTTGTTCACCTGAATGCCTATTCTGCATTGAATTCTGTTCTCTATGCCCAGCTCCGTCATTGTCAGTGGACTTGAGTCAGTGATCACTCTTCTTTCCAAGAGCCGCCTTGCAATTTTGAAAAGAATGGCCAACTCGTCTGCAAAAGGCGCACATGTGAACGCCCTTGGTACATCGTGGCGGCTGCCCTGTCGTACTCAAACTGCAACCGTTGCTCAAATTGTAAGCCCAGCAAATGGGCTTTCCGTCTGAGGTCTGATGGTAGCATGACTTTAATTCTTCTGGTGGCGTTGGAGTTGGTCTATTGCCTTTGCCCGGGCGTGCCTTTTTCTTTGGCCTGACCCCTGTATTGCTCGGCGCTCCATCTGGTGCACGTTCAGTCGATGTGATAGTTGATGACGCTGCAGGTGCTCTGTTTGGCAGAGACAGCATGTGCATTGTGACCCTTGGGTCACACATGAGTTTTTCAACCGCTGCATCCAATGGTCTGTCTCCATTTGCGTTTGGTTTTACTGATTCGACGTCTCTCGCAAGGATTGTCCACAGCGCCTTGTCGGCGGCAATCAACTGGGCCAGCGTCACCCTACTGAAATTTGGGGGTGGGTCAGAAGCATAAACTGCAAACATGGTTGACAACCATTTCTGTGAAATTTGCCATGACAACAATTCACACATTTCCAGGGCAACACTCCTCCGTTGCCAGCACCATTGCAGTTTTATCTCAGAGCTGTGGTCGGCATCTCCTATCTTCGCACCTTCTGTACTGACCTTCAAAGTTTGTGATTCAATCTTCAACACTTGCTTATTGTCCTTTGGCGCGGCTTGTATCTCAAGTTCACGTTTTGTGCAGACCGATGGAGCCAGCCACATGACAGAGTTAGTGTCATACATAATCTGGCACTTGTCAACCAATGCATGAGATGGTTCCGTTTCTCCTTGTATCAGAAACCCCGATATGGTGGCTTTGACTTTCGCATACCTTGCCTGCTTCTCTGCGAAAGGGAGTTTCCTGATACCCTCACTGGTCTCACTTGAAACTGCGGTTTTCAGATGCGACAAAACCAATGTGGCTGCTTCGAAATGTAATCGCCTAAGCAGGCCGATCTGTCCAGCTGAAGCCCCGCCTCCCAACACTGAATCAGACAGCGCCTTGAACTCTTCATCGCTTGGTGGGCGATTAGGAGTGCCACACGAAAATGCAAGCTCCGAAAAGGAATTGATGTTCTGAGCAGAGCAATTCGAAAAACGAAATCGAAGCAGTGGATAATTCGCCACACCTCTGTCGAAATGCAGCCTTCGAGTCGATGAGAGTCATGGCCTATCCGTTCTAAAGCGAAACAATGAAGAATGATCAACAAGTTTTGGAAAAAACTTTTAATGAACTCCAGCTCGAGATAAAACTTTCACAAACATACAAAAACTAAATTTAGTTTGACGTTTCGTCTGCCCAAGTTTCACCGATACGAAGCTCATGTTTCCAGACGTGATGGCTGTACCACTCACACCTATGAGCCACACGACTTTCATGCGACATGTTTGGATGTCAGAGTCGTTCAACCCAACTGACGCTGGCGGACCCACACGTCAAAGGATTGCAAAGGTCATTTAGTTCCAAAAAAATTGATTGAAATGTTTTCTCATTCATGCACAACCACCCCAAACCATTGAGTGGATCGACCACCTCAAGTTGTGTGTTGTCTTGCATGATCTCTTGTTTTCCACCCAGCGTCATCGCCGTTGGATCTGCACTCTGCAACCTCTGTCACATTCTGTGCCTTTTGCACACATGACAGGTTGCTGAGTCGTATCTGAGTTGAGCTGGTGTCACATAGTTGGAGTCCAAGAGCCTTCCACAGCACGTCCCACTAGGGTACTTATAGTCAACCAAGTGTAACGTCTTTGTGCGTTTGTTTTGAACAAACCTAAAGCCATCTGGCGCTGAAGGCGGGTGAAAAACTTTGACTGGGGCTTCAAGTTCCACGCTCTCCGCCTCGCTTTCGGAGGAAGAGCTGGTAATGTGTCCCTCCTCCAGTGGCTCGTCTGGAGAGAGCACTACGTTCTCAGCTTCGTCGAGCTTTTTGTTGACTTCAGTAGTGATGTCATCTCTGACCGATGCATCTTCTGAGAAACGTTCAGCGCCCAAGTCTTCTGAATCATCTGGCAAAAATTCTTTGTGAAAGCGTCCCGCTCTGTTCGCGTCAGGGTCAAAGAAGCCAGTCTTAATCTCCACTAGCAGCCTGTCAATCAGTCTGATGCATCTGGCTTGAGCCTCTCGAGCATAGACGTCCGCCATTCGAAAAGGGTGAATATGATGTCCCATTGCTAGCCTATCCTCATGCCGAAGTCCCCTCTTTGCAGCCATAGACAAAAGGGTCGCTTTGAGGGAATGAGATGAAATCTGTCTCTTGCTGTCCTTTCTGTTGATCTCTTCTCCCAAAATCAAACGCAACCACTTGCTTGCCTCATCGCTTTCCAAAGAGCGTTGCAAAGCTTGTCCATCATCACCGGGCGCAGGCATCAGGGAAAGTCCATCCACCCCACTGAGTCGATCACGTCCTATGTGTCCAAGTGCGTCCAGCCAATGTCCAATCCAATTGTGCCCTGCAATTCCAATTCCAGATGCTACAAGATCCAAAAACTTGAATCGATTTGCTGAAGCCTTCATGGTCTTATGAACCTGCACCTCCATGTCAGCGTAGACAATAGTCCCGTCTGTCTGTGTGCCCAGCCGTAGGTGATTCCCGTGGATGAAATCGCTCCAACGAGCTCTAGCGTAGATGCAAAACAAGGCAGCACCACTGAAGACTTTGTCCCATACATTACCATGTTCCAAAACCCAGTGCAACCGTTTGACATCGAAGACAGTCAATGGTTCAGCCTGTTTAATCTTGCCTGGCAAATCGTCCACTACTGCCCCCAAGCACCTCTTGCTGACCGTCAGGTCGTGCAGTTCCGGCAAATGAAAGGAATACCTGCAAAAGGTTACTGCCTCAAGGAGTGACTTCAGCCGGCTGGTTGAGTGTCCAGCACTTTTCAGTGTCTTCAAAAACCTGTAAAAATCTGGTTCAGACAAAGGCCAAAAATACCCCAGCTGATTCAACATGTTCTGCATGAAAATGAGACTGTTTGCACGTTTTACCAGCGTCGCCGGTGCTTTGCCAGTCAAATAGTCTCCAAGCAATTCGAGTCCTTCTGAGGATGTGGCGCAAGCAAGAAGTTCACTTTTACAGGACCAGCTGTCAGGCCAGTTGCAAATGATGGCGTACCACTTCTTCAAAGCCCGTTGCAGTTCAGCCTCTCTCTTTTCTGTCCACGTAGCGTCATGTCTACGTGAAACAGCAGCTTGAAAGAATGGTTTTCCTAAATGTGATTGGGGTTTCCCATCCCTGGCACTAACCGCAACAACTTCCTCATTCACAGGATTGAGTTTCACTGCTTTCAACTTGGGTTCGAACGAAGGGAGCAGCGTGTCCATGATGTCACTGTCCGGATTGAAAATGCATGCCCATTCATCCGTCTCCCAAGGCAAAACAAAAGAACTTGCAGCTGTGTCACGCATTGCATGTGTGAGCAAGTTTGAAAAATTGACTTTTGAAGATTGAAACTCATCATGTGGAACCGTACCTGATGGCAAATCTACAAATGAACCTGGTGGCTGATCTACAGCTTCCGACGGTGAAGGCACGACATCTGGATGGCGCCCCGGAGCGTCACGTCCATTATAGTCCAGCTCCCAGAGATCTGTTTGAAAACTGCCAAACTCCAAACTGTCGAAATGTTGCACCAAATCACCTGAAGCCTCATCAGTCTCCCCAAGTTCCATTGGCAGCACCCCCCAGCACAAACTTTTGAGGGGTCTGCAAAGTAAGTCACCCACCACCCACCACTTGAACCAAGAATTGCATGGAAAGACAGAATCCAGATTAACTAGTGTGAAACGTATCGTTTAAATTTGGTTTCAAAGAGTGTTTCAAAGACCAATGAAACAACCCTCATGAGAAAACAAACTCAAGATTGGTGTTCCGAGATGTTTGTTGTTGGTCTAATTTGCCTGTTTTAAACAGGCAAATTTTTGGCAGTTGAAAATAAGGTTATTATCCTTTCAGGAGCAACAACGTATTGTTCACCCAGCCATTGTCTGCCCCATTGCGACCGTCCTGTTGATGGCAGGTGCTCCCAGGGGTACCCTGGGTAGTTATCCCCATTAACAGGCTCGATGAAGTGGCAGGAAGCTATGAACAGTCGGAAAGCCACGGGGTCCGTCAGCTGCGCGACACCCAGAACCTGTGGCCCCATTGTGCCGCATGCCTGACGAAACCCACCCCCCATGCAGTGCTTTCATGCCAATTAGCCAAACTCTTCCCCAATTGCTGCCTGGTTGATAGTCCCCATGTCCCCCACTCACTCTTTTTGCCCAACCCTGGTCAGAACATTGGCGTCCTTAAGCCTTTGGCACAGCCAATCGATTCAATGCTTGTAGAGGGTTAATCAGCTGTCCTCCTACGATTGCCACAACTAAGGTGCAGCTATCCAGACGACCTGTAACAGTGAAGATTTGGCACTGACCTCTCGGCGAATGCCCTAGGTATACATAATATGCGAGTGTTGGAGGTGCACCCAGTAGCTCCATCAACCTCTGGTCACACTGGATCCCCCTTAACCACCTCGTAATGCCATGTAAGAATCTGATGCCAGTCATGCACACGACACTCTCCTCGCCCTGGACCCGTGACGAAGCCGTGGGGCCAAAGATCCTTTTTTCCGTCTAACGCCTTCATGGCTTCCGCCAGGTCGTTACACGCGGCAAACAGTTGAATTGTAATTTACATGCAGGGCTGTCAACTTGTCGAAAGCCACAAAAGTGCTGGTAGTGGACCAATACGCAGTCCAGAAGCTGTCCCAGCAAGAAAACAGACAAGAAAGCAAACCAAAAGCAACAAAGCAAAAACAGGCAAAAAACACACAACCACAACAAAACCAAAACAAAAACGACAGAGAAGTGGGATCGTCACCAGCAATGGGAATTACATGCATAATGACATCTTATGTGTCATTTTGAGAATGACCCAAAACAAGAAGCAAAACAGAAAAACCACAGAACACACCAATGGGCCATGTTAGTGGGTGAGAGAAGCAACAAAGCTCCATGCGGAAACCAGGGATCCCCCCAGCGAGGATCCCCGAGATCACAAAGAGCAGCCGACAGGCATGAGTGTGGCCAAAGATCCGAAAGCGGGACACATTGAGTACTATCAACTGCCGAACAAAATCGACAGAATGTATCGTGAATAACAGTTCTGTTTATATTACCTTGTTCTTCATTTGCATCAGGTAGTGTTCCAAGTGCATATATGTGTGCGTCCGTGAATTTTGGCTGAGCTTACCCGCCCTCGTGTTTCTGGTCCATCAACCTGCCCGCGCCTGAACGTCTCACTAAGCTTTGTGCTGCACAATTCGGACTTTCTCCATGCTCCGGACAGCGCGGAGTGCAACTGCTGACTATGTTCGCATCTTACTGCAGCAGCTCCTCTTTTTCCATCGGATGAAACTCGCGGCCATGAGATTGCGTATCCAGTTGGAAGAAACTATGGATGACCTGGACGACATCTGTCGAGGTCCTCTATCGCAGCCATGTTTTGAACACTTTTTCGGCCCTGTTTTAAGGGCCATGATGAAGCAGGTTTGTTGGCATTCGAGGCGCTCCGAGGCTCACCGAGGCCTGCCCGAGGCAGGCCTCGGACGCAAAACGTAATGGTACGAGGACAAAGCGAGGCTCACGGGGACTCGAATCTATACAATACACGTCAAGACTGAATGATCTGAAACCAAAAAACGCTGGGCGATGATTACCAGCCAAGATATCCATTGCTTTCATGAAAGCCTGCAGCTAAAATGAGGACACATGCCCCGTGTGGGACCTTGACTTCAAAGCACATGCAGATTTTCGTCCCTCGATATGTTCCGTCTCTCTTGGGAAATGAAGAACATACCATGTGGCCGCCATGGGCTCACCTCCATGTGATCCTGCATTTTTTCTCCCGATAGTTTTTGCGCGGGCAGCGCAGAACCCCCACACCTCCGGCGGCAATGCTGCTGTGGAACGCTGTAAAGAAGCATATGACAGCTTCAGTCCATCTCACACTGACGCAGCATTGCCGCTGGGGAGCGGGGCGTATTCAACAGATCTCTTAAAGCGGCAGACCCAATGTTTCAAAAGCTTAAGGCCGTGGCAGGCGCAGTACTAACAACCCCGTCGCAGGCACAATATTTCAGAAGCAAACATGGCCACATCACAGCTTAAACCCGTGGCAAGCGCAGCATTTCAGAAGTAAACAACCACACATCTCAACCTGTGGCAAACATTGCAAACAAACATGGCCACCTCACAACTTAAACCCTGACAACTGCGGTACTTGACAAACAAACATGGCCACCTCACAGCTTAACCTGGACAGCTTAAAGGCTGGCAGGCGCAGTAATTCAGAAGCTAACATGGCCACTACACAGCGTAAACCCTGGCAGGGGCAGTTTTTGACAAGCAAACATGGCCACCTCACAGCTTAGCCCGTGGCAAGTATTTGACAAACAAACGTGGCCACCTCACAGCTTCAGCCGCAGCAGGGTTTAAGCTGTGGGGTGGCCATGTTTCCTTTTGAAATACTGCGCCTGCCAAGGTTTGTGCACAGAAACCTGCCGTGTAGTGCCACAACTGGCGGCACTACCCGCTCACCCTCTGTGATTTTGGCGCGACGCAGAGCGCAAATACTGCGCCTGCCAGCAAAATCGGCACTAAACGCTTCGCACTGTGGTAAAACAGCGATTTTTAGATGTGACCGTTTGGGCGTGTAGTACCCCACTAAACGCTCCGCACTGTGGCCGAAGACACATTTTCGCCGTTTCCTGGCGTTCGGTTGTAATTTTATTTTTTAAAGATCAATATAGTTTAGAAAAAAGAGCCACTACACGCTACACGCTGGACCTGTTTTGCTGGTTTTTCCACGGTAAAAGGCGTGTAGTGCCACAACTGTCGTACTAAACGCTCCCCCTCTGTAGGTTCAGTGTCACACACGCCGTAAATACCGCACCTGCCACCAGCACAAGTCAAATCGCAGTTTTACCTCAGTTTTTGCCGATCGACCTTCATTTCGTGCGGAAGGGTTGCTCCGGGACAAGTAAAATCGCAATTTTACCTCAGTTTTTGCCGATCGACCTTCATTTCGTGCGAAAGGGGTTGCTCCGGGGCAAGTAAAATCGCAATTTTAACCTCAGTTTTTGCCGATCAACCCTCATTTCGTGCGAAAGGGTTGCTCCGGGGCAAGTCAAATCGCAATTTTACCTCAGTTTTTGCGATCGACCCTCATTTCGTGCGAAAGGGTTGGCGTTTCGTGACTCCGCCGGCACCACCCTCGGCCTTAAGAGAGAAAGATAAAAAGAAGACGTGAGAGAGAAGGTGAGCAGGTGTGAAGATAAGAAGATGTGAAGATGAGCAGATGTGAAGATGAGCAGATGTGAAGATGAGCAGATGTGAAGATGAGCAGATGTGAAG